CTGGCGCTGTACAGAATTTTTGAAATATACATTTACAACAAAATCAAAAAGTTCAAAAGAAATATACATTAAAAGTTAAATAGAAAAAAGTGGAACATATAATTATTACACTCCTTATTAAATAATATCTTAATTATACACACAAAGAAATAAATAAATCTTTAAAATAGAATGAGGGACTTAATGTTCGCCGTATCATTTACTTTTAAAGGATCTCATTGCCTTGTAAAGTGGACGTTTTTACATTAGTTTTACGTTGCAATTCTTGTATTTCATTTTCTTTTTTTTTTTGTATTTTTATGTTTTTATTTTATTGACTTTTGAATGATTTCATGGATGATTTTGTACCTTTATATTTGTATAGGCCTATTTTAATTACTCCTTTACTTAAATATTTTATGCTAATTTCATTTATGTTCTTACTTGCTTTGTAGAGCAACTACACAGTGATTTAGTTCACTTTTTGGCAATTGAGAGTTGTTTTCCTCTCTCTGTTATTTTGTAGTTGTCATTTTTAATGTTTTTTTAGACCAAATAAATGAAATCAAATCAAATCAACATTTGGAAAGAAACAAGATACTTAGTGAAGCTGAGGGTCAGTTTAATCAATTTATGAATAGCAAGTCCACCCACCGTAAATTCAAATAAAAACGGGGTTTTTCAAGTTATTTCAAAGCAAGTTTAATATTAATTCAGAAATTCCCCTTATGTATTCCTTCCTCCTTATTGCATATTATATTTACCCAGATTTTGACTCGAAACTACGAAGTAGAAGAAAAGAAAAAGCCAAGCATTTAAGAAATAGAAGTGCAGACTTTTTTCCAAACATATTTCAGCAATTAAATTGACATACGGTATCGGTAATCAGTGAAACTCAATTGTACAGTACACATTGGCTTTAAGCTTTAGTTAAATTATAGCTAAATATGAAGAAAGCGTGTAGGCCTACCTTCGGTGATAAAGACCTTGTACTGTTATCACATATAGGCGATACCATTGATAGATAATAACCTGTTCGCAAGTCACTTAACACGTCGGAGTATCCTTCAGATCAACAAGGTTCTCAAATGTAAGAATATAATTGCAATCTAAATTTTTACAGGAGCGGGGATTAATACTAATAAAAATAAATTTGGTAAACTTGGTAATGACTGCCAAAAAATGACAATAATATAATTAATTTTATGAATAAGTTTCTTTTCAAGCTATTACAGTCACATACACTGTATGAATTTCAGAAAACAATATAGGCCTAAATTAAATACAAGCTTGGTTTATACAGTAGTTTAGGTAATTTAATGCCAGTTAAATACACCCCATGATACTGATTGATGGCCTTATTTATTGTTTTACAGTACAATTGCAGCATTCATTTTGAAAAAAAGAAGCCCTCACCCTCTTTACTTTGCAAAAGGAGTCTCGAAAAGAAGCCCATCTTGAAAAGAAGCCTATCTCGAAAGGAAGCCCATCCAAAGTTCGCAAAGAAAAGAAGCCCAGGGTTTCAATTCGAGGTTTTACGGTATACGGGGAGTTCCAACAAGC